AGTTTTAATATGTCGAATAAAAACTAAAACCGAATCGCAATAAATGTAGCTGTAAATCGCCTTAGGGTAAAAAAGAAAGGAATTAAACCAAGATAGACTATCAAACACCTGCTTTCATCATCAATTTGAAAAAAAAACCAAATAATTAAAAAAAAAATAGACAGATGACTTAAATAAAACAGCCATTAACGAAGTAAATACGTCTGATATACTTAACACATGACAACTGAGAAATTATACACCCATGGTTCTTCAGACAACTATACTATATGAATTATGAAGAAATAAGGATATATATATACAGCTTCTCAAATTCATTTCTTTGTTTCAGATTTTGAAATAGGAACTACGTCCACTGATGACATTGGGTGTGAAATATGCCAAAATAGGACATATGGCGAAAAATGTTCATTTAACTGCAAATGCAGTTCAATGGAAATGTATGTCGAGGAAGTGTACTTCTGGAAAATAGTGTTAACTTACCACAACTGGAAATGTTGAATAGTAAATGAAATCGATATGATTTCTAAAGACGAGTGCAGCAATTAATGAACAAGTGTTACAATCTTTTATTTAGGTCTCTACACTAGTAAAATAATATTGAACGGTAGTTCAATCCCAACAAAACCTGAGATATCTGAATCTAAAAATGTTTAGTCCGGTAAAAAAATGAAAACAACACGTTATATACATTATTGCCTCCGAAGCGCTTTATGTTAAGTTAAGCTAAGTGTTAATTGATTTTTCAGTAATTTTCTTGTTGTAAATTACCGTTCAGGCAGTTTGTTTGCAATCAATCTGGCACTGACTAACATTCGTATGACGCGCAGTTTATACTTCGTGTGTAGTGTCCTGGTGTACTGTCGTAAATTCATGGGAGGTGTCCGTTGTTATTCTGTGGTTTACATGTTGTAATGTACGTTTATATTATCTTTTTATTAGTTTCTATATCCTGAGTGTTCTTGCGTTTTTTGTACTGTATTCATGTCACGTAATGTTGTCGTGTTAGCGGTATTTTTAACATTGTCATATAAGCGGGAGGTTTGGCTATAAATGTCCTGTACGAAGTCAGGAATATGACATTTGTTATCAAATATTTCGATCCTATGTATGTTGGCGTTTGTTTTTGTTGCAGTTCAGTGTTTCTGTTGTTCCGTTGTTTTCCTCTTATAGTTGATGTGTTTCCATCGGTTTTAGTTTGTAATCCGGATTTGTTTTCGCTCAATCAATTTATGACTATTGAACAGCGGTATACAACTGCCTTTCTTTGTAGCTTTTATGACAATTCAGTATGGTGTTGTTTTGCACAGGTGAAACATAATTACTGAACATTCTAAACATCGAACAACCAAATCTTAATTGAGAGAAAGCAAATTGTAGGAACAGAACTGGATAAGTCTGAAATCTGACTGAATGACTAAAAATGACTTAATAATCTTATCTTCGTTCTTTTTAGGGCTATTCTAATTGAACTGGTCCTTTCAGTTTATTTTTTCTTACCTAACAGTTTCATTTGTCAAGTCATATGCCTTTAAAAGAGAAGAGAAGTATAGCAAAAAGATATGTACACTCTGAAGTCGAAAACAAACTGACAATGTCATGCCAACAATAAACAAAACAAACAGACAAAAAGACAAATAAAAGTATATAAAACATAGAATAATAATTGAATGACTAAGAAACACAAACCCCAACAAAAAACAAAAAAGATATCAAGTGCTGCGGAAGGGAAAGCAGATTCAGCTCCACATGTGGTACCCGTCATGCTGCCCATAGAGGTACAACACCGATAAATAGTCTTGTTCGGTAGGTCACATTTAAACTTGTAGAATATCATAATAATATATCATAATTGTACATTTTTAAAACGGATGAACAATCTTTTTAATCTCATTTGAACATATGACTGTCTTGTTGTCTTAACAATCTTGACTGATTTGCAATCCGTGTTTTTTTTAAATTCATTTCATAATACAATTGTAAACAGAATATATACCATCACAAGAAATCGTCGCTTACACAACAAAAATTTGGACTAATATTAAAGTTTAATTTTTCAGCTGTAACCTAGATTGAAAGTAAGGATGCATTGCAAAACCATACACATTTTGATTTGTGAATGACTTTAGAAACATAAATATTTAATTTTCTTTTTTTGCTTTCATCTTCACCTTTTATTCTAGAGTGGAGTATACTCTTCAACCAGTGCGGGATTGAAAGTGTATGTCATTTATATGACATATAAGAGATCAAACATATTTTATTGTTTGCCACTACGATTTTGTCTTTCATTGAAGTTTAATGAATTATCTTTGTAAACATGCGGTGCTTTTTTTTAAAAAATCGTACTTTATTCGGTTTTGCAAATTAATGATTTACAATATTTGTTTCTTTTGATTTAGAAACCAAGTGGACACCACCACAACTACCACAACTACCACAACTGTACGGACAACTCATCAGGCAGTGACTTCGTCGAATGTTAAAAGCCATGGATTCTAGAAACCTCATACAACTACGGCACGTGCATACAAGAGAAATGTATCAGTGGAGAATACAGCTAGTGTGTGAGTTTAATAACATTAAAAATTATATAATAAAATTATTTGTGTTAAAAAATTGTTGATTAATTGTATTACTTGTTAAGAATATCAAATTAAAAGAACATTTTACATGTTTTGATTAACTTGGTTAATCGGAATTGTCATTGTTTGAATATGACCTTTATATATCATACAGACAGGTTATTTATTGAACAGTGCCATAGAATAAACCAACCACCAAACATTCGTAAAAATAACATAGTAGCAAGGACCAGCAAAAACGAATAACTCATGGTCTATATGATTCCTATAAGATCATGACTTGGGCCAGATATTCAACATGGGATTGTTTACCCCATTAAAAAATGACACTGTAGTCCCATTTAGCAACATGACTAAAAAAAACACAGGTTTCTATTTCCGTTTTTGAATTATATTTGTGTAATGATTATTATTGTTCACCATTTAAAAAAATTCAATTTACTTTAATAATGTGCACTTTTTAAATCTACATTTGATAGTTACATGGTGACTTATGGTTAAACGTGATGATTTGAGTATGAGCAACAGTACTTATTAGAGTGTTGATTATGATTGTACAACCGTTGAAAGTAATTTCAATTTTTTGTCTGTTTAAAGACAGCACATTGCTAATGTTTAAATTGAAATTTCTGTTAAGTACATTACCAACAGAAGCAGCCATCGCAATAGGAGCAGGATCGGCTACTACTGTTGTTTTGGTAGTACTATTTGTTTACAAAAAACGTAAGAACCTCATAACGATACCAAGGATTTTCCAAATAGGACACAAGGAATTAACAACCGTATTGGACATAATTTAGCTCAACCGACCGGGAATCCAATTTATTTCGTTAACGGTAATTATAAGTTTTCTTACAATTGTTGTTTTGTTTTGTTTTGTTTTTGTTTTTTTGTATGGGCAATAGAAATAATACGATATTAAAGCATTGCAGTTTCTCATTTCAATCATTGTTTTGCATTGAACTGGTGTGGTTTTGGTTCACTTTATTTTTAGTTGTAATACTAAGAAAACTGTTTTACGTAATTATTATAACTGTTATTCAACAATTGCTTCACAGATGACCACGATGTGTGCAAACAGTGAATCAGAATGATCTGCCTTCCAAAAAGGGACTCTTCAGTCTGGGCTCTATTTGTAATATTTTGTAGACTGTTGTTCGTCTTTTGTCATGATTTATTCATTTTTTTAACTTATGATTCTTAAAGTATGTTCTGTGTCTTTTATTCAAAACAAATTTTAAACATATATACATATATATATACACTTTAGACTTATCTCACTTCGTCAAATGGGAGGTTTAACTAAAAATGGATCACTTTGGGATTTAATATTTATTTGAAACCTCTTTGATAGGACATTCAGATTCAAACTCGGTCTGATAGTCTGAAAACTTTGACGAAAACGCCAAATACCCGCTAATGTAGACAGTATCCACTAAGTAATGTAGGTAAACATTAAAACATCATTTCACTCAATTCTTTGCCAATGTATCTTCTACCAGATAAAATTAAACATCGAAATTGGGAATATGTCGAAGAGACAACAACCCGACTAAAGAGCAGATAACAGCCGAAGGCCACCAATAGGTCTTCAATGCAGCGGGAAAGTCACATGTGGTACGTGTGATTTTAGTTCTTCATTGATCAAACATTTAAATAATGACGTCAAATGTTCTGTTCTCCCCTCAATTTTCTATTATCATGGTTATGACGTCACGAATGAACGCGATCATGACTTATGACGTCGCATAAAATCAAAACATCTTTTTGCTGATCACTTGCAAAGAAAATTCGATTTCATCAACATGTTATTCATAAATCTTTAGAGATTTTACAGATTTTACAGATTACACAACAAAATATCGTCCATACGATATTTCATCACTCTCGACAGTTAATTTCTAAACATCCGAAACGCTTTGCAAGACTCGTGTTTTAAGTTTGAAAACTTTACTATTTCGAACGAAGAGAAAGAGTATCACACTTGATGTAGTGGTGGAATATACATCTATGTATGTAACCAATAAATATGTGACTATAAGTGTACACATATTTAAGTAAAGATGTTGATAATAAAACCTGTCATTTAATGTAAAAAGAAAGATAAATCAAACACGCTGCAAAAAATAGTGTCAAACGAATCAAGGACACAACAAAATGTTAAGTATAACTGAAAATTAGGCTTGAATAATATAAACTTAAATTATTGACTGTAGATTCATATCAGTATATTCTTTGAATGAACAGTTTTAAGTCAGTGTATTGAATCTGCCTAAATCAGTAATCGTACTACTTTAACTGTTAGTATATAACTCGGTTTGGTATCAAATGTTTCGATTTCAATCTAAAATAAATATAAATGTATTTAAATGAGAAGAGACATAGTTAGATATATTTATTTCTTGTAGATGGTAATAGCAGAGCTGTAATGATTTTTTCTCCAAGTCGTTCCAATGTCCAACATACCGAACAAGATTCGCCACCGCCTTACTCGTTTGCTAATGTGCAATAGCTGATGGATACTGTACCGTAGTAAATCAATGACATATACACATTTTGATATCGGTAAGGTTTTATTTGTACATCCTGCTTTCGGGTTTCTGGGTTTTGGCGTTTCTTTTGTATGTGGGTACAAAAGTGCAATTCCGACGCATGATTTTTTCTATGGTGTTGTTCTAATTTCTGCATCCTTTTATTTACGTTTTACCTAATGTGAACCTTATCCGGAAATTATGTTTTGATTAACTATATGTACTATCAACTAAACAAATATGTGTGTTAGCTTCTTAGCTCAACTGAGGCGAGGATTCTAGAACTTACTGGTAATTTATCTAAATGAATATTGTGTATATAGGAAAAATTGATAAAAAAAAAACTTTCTTCTTGCAGTTCACGTATAAAAAAAATTAAAAAAAAACACCTTGAAAAAAGGTATGTTTTAGTAATTTTATGTTGCATATTGATTTTCTGTAAGTTAAATTTGCTTTAATTCAAATATTTATAAAGCCCCGAGGGAGTCACACAAATATTTCGATTATAGTCCTACGGTCAATTTTATTACCTAACGGATTGTTCTCATCCGGTAAGGAGGCAATATCCTCAAATACGTCCACCAATTCCTCAACAAATGGACCCCAGTCTGTAAAAACGTTTCTAGTTTTTTCACCATTTACTGGAGTACAATCTTCGAAAGACGCATTATAGATTTCAGTGAAAATTAGTTCATCCTTGGTACGGAAGTTATGATTTTCAGTTAATTCTTTAGTTAAACTTTCAACATCAGAAACTGATGAACAAATTATTGCACTTGTGTAAAAGTCATTTTTGTATTCGGATTCCGAACACGTGAATGAATCATTGACACTTTCATCAGAACTAACATCACTGGCTCTTTCCTCAATACAACAATCAATGGCACTTTCGTCAGAACTAGAATTAGTACATTTCCATTGATGTGAAGGAGTCCTATGCACATTAGTCTTTGATGATATCTGATTTGTGTAACTATCTCCATGCGGTTGACCTTTCAAACGTGGACATACATCATATTGGTAAGTAACATCAATATCAGATGACGCTATACTACTAGTGTTTTCCAAACCATACATTTCACTACTGATTTCATTTCCTGTAAAATGAAAAAAAAAACAACATTGTCATTGTTACACAGCTTTTATCTATCTAAATCACATTTCTAAACACATGAATATTCCTGTTATTTAGGTCATGTGTCTTTGCTTTCCTCATTAAAATGTTCATTCATTACGCCTTTTGAAAATTATTTTACATTGGTCAGAACTTTGACTGATGTGAAACTATTGTTGTACATTAGTAAAACGTTTGACGAATTTTAATATCGAGAATATATGTTTTTCTTTAAACTATAAACATTCTGTATGTGTCTGTTCAAAGTCATGAGTCTTTAATTCAGTGGTTGACGTGTGTTGCTGTATATTATGTTTGTATTTCGTTCATTATTTTGTACATAAAAAGTTAAATCACAAATATACTGAACTCCGAGGAAAATTCAAAACGGAAACCCTTATCAAATGGCAAAATCCAAAGCACAAACACATCAAACGAATGGACAACAACTGTCAAATTCCTGACTCGGTACTGGCATTTTCTTATGTAGAAAATGGTGGAAAACCAGGCCGTTAGTTTTCTCGTTTGAATTATTTTACATTTGTCATGTCGGGGCCTTTTATAGCTGACTATGCGGTATGGGTTTTGCTCATTTTTGAAGACCGAACGGTAACCAATAGCTGTTAACTTCTATGTCATTTGGTCCCTGGTGGAGAGTTGTCTCATTGTCACTTATACCACATCTTCTTAATTTATATATTATGTGTAGTGGCATTAACCATACAATTAATTTATTAATGCACCCATCTAACACACGGCTAATTTATCTACCATTCGGAAGCTGATCATCTGTACGTTTTGCTTTGCGTGGTCGTAAAAAAATCGTACGGTGCAATTTACGTTAAATCAAGATCAAAGTCCAAGTACGAAGAAGTAATTTTTTTCTAAGATGTCAGCATCATTGCATATTTTGTGTTCTTGATAATCAAATAGTGTATGCAATCCAGAAAACTTGTAAGAAGGGAGATTGACAGGAACTTATCAAGTGCACCTTCACATTTCTAAAGTGTGTTTTAATAGATAGCACATTTTCCCTGAAATTCGAGTAAAAATGATAAAACTTAATGATGGCCAGCGTATTTGTTTGTGATGCAACTGGTAATCACTTAAACCCAAATAAAACCTTGTAGGTAGCAATACACAGTTAGGATTTTAGTTTCGTAATTTGGCCATGGTGATTTTGTTAAATATGATTGTTTTTGTGCAAGAAAATTTATTTTTAGATAGCTGAAGAATAATACAGCCTTCAAAGATGGTTAATATGAACATCATGATTGTGTTTTGCATGTTTTATAGGCCATTTGTCTGTTTGACAGTCCGTATGTTCACATTCGCCCATAGTTCTAAAAGTTATTGTAGTGTTTTTCAACAAATATTTGACCCTCGAACTTTCCAATTCAATTTAATGGAACAACAAGGTAAAATAGATATGATTTTTTTTACCTCTTGATAGATAAATCTCAATGGTTTCAGAAGAGGTACATGTATCACTATAATGTATTGAGATTCTACTTAGGACCAAATAGTGGGGACTTGTGTGACATTTTCATCCTCCTTTTTGCAATATTTTGCATCAAATAAATACAGACTGTTGCCATGGTTACACCAAAAAGCGATTATATTTCACCATTTTCATTATTGGAAATCAAATCTATGGAAGATACTGTTTCTATACATATGCACATATATAACACAAACATTAAGCCTTATTTGTTAGAAATCAAGCGAAAGAGGTTGGTTAAAAATTATGAGTGTCAACTTTTTTTTCTAATTGTTTATTGCTACCTAGACTAGTGCTAATCAAACAGTAGATCATAACAACTCGTACCAGATGCCAAACATATAGATCAGTGGTATAGGAGATAACTCAAATGCAAATAATTTTTATGGTGTCATATAGCTCTTATCATGTTTGAGTTTTATACCACACTTTCTTATGAAATTTGGGATATGAGCATTTCTGGTAAATCAGGAAAAGCACAAAGGACACATACAATTAAATGTGTTATTCTCCATCAGTTTAAACCAGGCCGTTTTTAAAACGTTTTTAAAATGTTTCAAGATTCTAAATCTTTTAAAAGAGAAACACTAATCATATATAACCTTTAACGGTTTAAAATTGTAGTTAAGAATTTAGAAAATGTTTGTTTTTGGGAAAAATGGAAAGAAGCATGAAGGTATAGTGATTCAGTGTTTAGTGGTAGGCTGTACTTTACTTTATGTGTTAGGTTAGATTTTGATATCCTTGAAACAAGTCAACGGTAACAGAGTACGTTAGCTGTGTATGATGCATGCTGATATATATCTGTTTTTTTTTTTTATCCCAACTGTAATCGTCCCCTTAATCAAAATCCTTAATTTTCCGTCTGAACTTGATTGCAGTTCCTATTTTGGCGAGACGATGTTCACTGATTCACACATAAAACTGAAAAGAGACCTTACAGAAAGTCTTATAGAAAAAGGTGTGTTAAAACCTTTTTTTAATGACTGTTTTTAACATCTTTTAACTAAATTGATTAAATCATTTGATAAATTTCAATCAGTTGAATTCCATCTCTATTTTTGATTTTTAAGGTATATACAACATCATTGTTTCATCAGTTTTTGCAGACATTTAACAAAACATTTTTCTGACAGTGTTTGAAAAATTAAATATAATATAAATGAAATTGCTTGAATTTGTTGATATATTTTCCTTTACATTACATTCAGGATTGAAATATCTTCATGACTTTTCAGAGTAACTGTACAATATGTTTATAATACTCATTTAAATACTCATGACTATTTCCTATTTTGAGAACCTACACAAAAACACAACAGGTAATGCCTATCAGTGTATTTGACTGGCTTTTAGGGTATCCAGAAACTGTTTGTATTTAGTATACCTTTTACATAAAATGTCACGTAAAATGTGATCATGACAGGTCATTTTTTACCCTTACTATTCAATGATGTAAGACAAAAAACAACGAATAACAAATTTGGTTTTACTAGTGTCTACACTCAACCGCACTTTATCAGCATTCGGAGTTCGAGCACGTCAGTGCAGCTAACCCCTCCCAACCTTAATCATTTGTATAATGGTATTTCGTTTTGAATTATTTGTATGGTACACATGATTTTCTATGTTGTCGTTGTAGATTTTTCAACTCGACAATGCACTTTGATCTTCATTTAAATAAAATAATCAATTGTACCTTCATACTTTGTGACCTGATACCATAATGATATTGCGCTATTTAGGTTTTTGTTTTTAGTTGTATTCGTGTTATTATTGCGGTTAAAAGTTTACATAATAAATGTTCGCTAACGGAACGATCTTTAATACTATGGTGTATAGCACTTGTAGTTGTTCAATACAAACCATGTGAACCTGTGAAACGTAAACTAGGTGTAGTCATCTTTGTCATTACGACACATCAAAAGACGAATGATTTCTTTTACAAATCATTTTTAAAGTTTTACATGTATTGAATTCAACATTTTTTACAGGTGCGGGATATATAATTTTGTCGCATTTTTTAGAATAAAAATAACTAAATCTAGTAGCATTTTTTAAATTCAAAACGTCTGCTTTAAGGAAAAATGCGAAATATATTCAATGATGATGTCTGTTTAATCTTAGTAACTTTGAAATTAGTTAGTTATATATAAAACTAGAACTTTATCTGACAGACTTTGTTTTAATTATATGAACAACAAATATAATGTTAGTCAATATTATATATTATAACAATAATGCATTCGGAATAAATTGTTGTTCTTGCTTAATGTGTAGGCTTGCAGTGGACCAAGGATTATCTTCTGATGTATTATCACTAATTCACAAAGAAAATTGAGATACATTAACTAATTAGGAGTCTGAGTCTGTATCTCTGTCTGATCAGCGGTTTAATGATTAATATATTTACAAAACCTTAGGGTACCTTTTCATTTTTACAGAAATTACTGTAGGACAATTAAGTTTTAAAAATACTGACAAAACAATCATTTTTCATGTGTGCGATACATTATACGTATCAGTATACGATGTATCATGCAAATGAACAAAGATGGAATCAACATGAATATCAATAGATAAACATTTTGCCAATGCTAAACAAGACAACGAGTAATGCATACAATTACCTTTCGCTGTTTTACAATTTTCGAAAATAACTTTACTAGAGTAGCTGTTCGAACAATCTTCATAGTTACATAGTTCTTCGATTTTGCGACTATGTTCATTCATTGCTTTTTTCATAGTTTTCACACCTTCCTTCAGTAAACGAACAGCTTGTTTTAATATTTTCTCAGACAATTTTAACGTAGCCTTGTCAGCAGAGATGCAATTGTTAGTTTGTTTATCAAGAATTTCAACGGGCTTTTCTATCAATTCTTCCATTGTTTCCTTATAGCGATGAAATGTGTTGAGTAAATCTTTACATGCATTCCTCAACAAGCGGTTTCTTGTCAGTACTAAAAGTGTATCTGCTGACGAAGTACTTATAGTGCTGTTTGCAGTGTTTGTACTCTCAGCAGATGCGTTATGCACGTTATATTCAATATTATCCTCTAAAATGATCACATCCGCCATTTGTTTGTGTTACTTCCTTGAATACAGGAATTTTCAATGTATTTTTAGATCTAACAAATCCCAGTTGTAAAGGTAGAGAAAATCAAACAAAATATATTAATTGCCTTGATTTCGGTTTCATGTTTCATGCTGAACTTATTGATCCTGGACGTTAATTCTTGTTTTGTCTTGCATAAATAATTATTAAAACTTGATTATCTAGATTTGAAAAGAAACATGTTAACTCAGTTCCCGAATCTTACCTTGTAAAAATAGATCGATTTAATCTACTTTATGTTTTCCTTTAAAATTATGTGTAAGCGTAGGTTAAATACTTTTGAAGACCAACAAAGTGAAGCGTTTTTACGGTTCAAACCATAAAATAAAATGTCCCCTACCTTCATGACAAACCTTTGATTTACTCAGAAAAAGCTATCTGTGTCTTCTTATTTCGACAAATACGTGAGAGATCAGCTGGTATTAAACAAAACCTTTATTTCACCGTTAAAACCGTTATTATAAAGTATTTGTTTTTTTAAACATCTATCATGACGGTTTCCTGATAGTTTGCAAAAGTTGATTCAATACCGTAAACAATAAAAACATAAATCAATTTATTATATGATTAAAATCACCAGTTGTACCATAGTTAGATAATATGGGTCAAATGACCACATATTATTAGGTCATTCCAAGTTAGAACGGAGCACCTGAGATCAGCCCGAATTTTTGACTGGTTTGTGTTGCTCAGTAGTTAGTTTTCTATTAAGTGTTTTGTATAATGTTGTTTGTCTTTTAATCGTATTTTGTTTTTGCCATATGTTTTTTTTTTGTCGCTTTTCTACTATTCACTCTTGATGGATTTTTGATTAAATGAAATTCTTCGTTCGAGAATGATGATGGGTACATTTTGGATTTCAAGTATTAATTTCCAGAAAAAAGAAAGGGTACAATTTTAGATTCACTAGTACATGTATATATAATTTTGCTTTATAATCTATAATTTCCGGTTAATTCAATTATATTCAGCTCTTTTTATTAACATGATATGTACAATAGTATTGTGGGTTGTTTAAATTGTTTACACTTTGACGGGAACATGGATTTAGTTATATTTTTGTATTTACACGCTTGTTTCGGAAGATGTTTTTTTTCATTTTGAGTATGCAGCAGGTACGAAAGCTATTTATTTATTTAGTGTTTGATGTTTTGAGGTCATATTTTGGTCAAATAGCTCTTCATTTTTTTTTTATATTTTTAAATGTCCTTGGCTTTTAAATATTCGGCTTTGGTGCGTTCCTGATCAGGGTAGTCCCTGTAAAGCGCTTTGTTCGCATTAACTTTATAAACTGTTGTTTTCAGTTTTTTTTAAGAAAGAGAAGGATGATTGACTTTCCAATTACTACAATCAGCTGATATATATGTGTCCCTGTGTTGGTCGATAACCATCAAATACAGAAATAAATTTCGAATAACTTTTGCTTTTGCTACTTTCTTCTGTACTTGATATAAATATTTTTAAAGTGCTTCTTTCTGTCAGTGTTATAAAATGAAGTTTTTAGTTCTGCATTATGCAAGATATTTGTTTTCATACTTTTTGAAACCAGATCGAAATGAATATCTTTGCAGTTTTTCCTATATACACGTATTTAAAAAAATAATCTTTAGGAAGTACCGTATACTAATGCCCAAAAGTTAATATTGTGATGTCAGTTTTTAACTGTAAGAGAATATTCAATTATACTAACTTGTTTATATTTTGCTTATACAAACACAGTGGTCAATGAGTTGATGTCACGCTCAAGCAAATAAACTCATCATAGATCTATGCTTAAAATCCCAATTTTCAAAAGAACATAAACCGCGAGTTAATCCCTAGGTGTCTTTTTTTTTATTCTTCCGTAGTGATGATAAAGGTCTAATCTTCTTTAGTTGATATTTTGAATAAATTAAAGCAAGACAGCACGTGAACATGAACGACAGGAGAAAGACAACATAAGAATGCTTGCAACATATAACAATTGTACTTAACTCATTATGTTACTTTTACAAAACTTTACCACAAAAGAGATGATTTCAGCTTCCCAATTGTGAACTTTCCATTTCTATGTAGCAACATTCCAGCAGCGCCTGCAAACGGAGTATATATCTCCCAGTTAATGATATTCCAGGGCTTGTATTTCCTATGATGATTCCCTTGATAGAGGCCTGCTGCTCACTAGGAAGCTATTCAACCAAGAGTTTCAAGTGGTGAAGTTGAATAAAATCATCCCTTCGTAATCTTTACGGACGCCATCACAAGTTGGTTGACCGTTATGGAATATCCGTTTCACAGATGATAGCGGATATGTATCAAATGTCATAACTACAATCCAGTCTCCGTTTTCCCGAATGTGACCTACCGAATTAGACTTACAACCGGGTTTGTACTAACATGAGCAACTTGACGGGTGCCATATGTGGAGCAGGATCTGCCTACCCTTCTGAAGCACCTGAGATCCCCCCATACTTTGGTGGGGTTCGTGTTGCTCAGTCTTTAGTTTTCTATGTTGTATTTTGTGTACTATTGTTTGTCTGTTGGTCTTTTTCTTTTTAAGCCATGGCGTTGTCAGTTTACTTTCGACGTAGGAGTTTGAATGTCACTTTGGTATCTTTTGTCCCTCTTTTATAATACATTGTGTACTCGTGTTTGTTGGTATCACTGTACACATGTTATTTTACTCTTATTTCGATGTTTTTAACAGTGTACTTTATTTGGACTTTCGCTGTTTTTATTTGAGAGCCACCGATGAGTCTTTATCAGACCTGTTTTAACTACGGAAGAATAACAACTAGACGCCACGGGATTAACTCGATGTTTTTGTTCCTTTGACAACTGGGATTTAACACCAATGAAATATATTGCAATTCATTAGGTTCAGACATTATAACTTTAAACATGTGCATTTAGTAGAGCGTACTGACATATTATCCTTTATTAAGACTGATGGCAATTTATAGACATTTCTTTGACTTTTTTTTTCATTTTCAACACGCAAAATTAATTTTTTGTAAATGAGAACAGGTCAACATCAAATAACAACATGTATAGGACATTTTATATTACGAAGTACTTCTGTTGTAACAACTATGAACAGCTTGACATTGGATGTAAACGTAAGATTCTTAGTTCTCCTTATTCAAAAAATGTTTTATTAGTAATGTTTGTGAATATTTTTTATGATAAAATGTAAAGCGTAAAAATCATTAAAATTATTATGCGCAAGTAACGCGCTTTTTGTTATTATCGATAGAGGAAATTATTGTAAAATTTGCAGACGAATGGCTGTATGTAAATGACTAACGCTATACATGTATCATTTCCTGATACAACAGTATATCAAATGAAAGTGATTCAAAATAATTAATCATTAGCTAAACCTGCCCAAAGGCCTGCTGTGAGCTATTGATATAGCTTTGCGTCCGGTATTTGCCGTCCATCGTCTCATATGAGTGTCCGTCTATGAATATATTGTACACACATATTTACCTCTAAAATCACTAAATCAATTAAAATCAAAGTTTGGTCACATCTTCCTTTGAGAGTGTACTTGAAAAACTGTGTCTGATGAACCAGCCTGCCAAACAAATATTACAGCTATTCAAGTGTGAAAGAACAGATTATTTTGTTTTTCTTTTTAATTTTTGGCTACAAGACGTTAGTAAGTGTATGCTCCATATCTAACTTTGGAACCATTGCTAAATGTATGAAGTTCAACATCTAATATATCCTTCATGTCTATTCACTCATTTTATATCAATTCAGTTTTCTGTATAAATTAATGAAAGATAAATGATTCGTCATTTTAAATCAAAAGTCATTGTTTTCCTATGCATATCACCATGCATTACAGTTTAGGTCAATTTGATCATTTCATCATATCTCGTTTTCGACATATTTTCGGACTTTCTTTCACCCTTTTTGTATATGCATGTATTTATTGCTTTTAATGTCGAGATCATGAACCTTACAATATTCACATAGACTGTACAAGCGGTTTCACTTCTGCTGGTGGATCTTTATGTCTTCCATGTCCGATAGGTTTTTTCGGTTTTCGATGTGCGGAGAAATGTAATTGTCATCTATATCAAAGGTAATTAATAAAACATTACACAATATAAACATGAGAAGATATGGTATGATTGCCAATTAGAAAACTATCTACCAAAGTTAAAATAAAGTGGATGTAAGCAATTATAGGCAACCGTACGACCTTCAAAAATAAGAAAATTCCATACCGTATAGTCGGATATGAAAGTCCTCGACATTAAAAATATGAATCAATTCAATAGACAGAACTAACGGCTTAATTTAATTCAAAACAATTCACGAAAAACAAATATGAAAGACATGAACCAACGACAATCACTGAACTACAGGCTCCTGACTTAGGACAGGCACATACAGAATGTGGCGGGGTTAAACATGTTTGTGAACGCTAAACCTTCCCTCTAACCTGGGACATTAGTTTAACAGCACAACATAAAAACAAAGTATAAAAATCAGTTGAAAAAAGCTTAACTCATCAGATCGATACAAAGCAGAAAAACATCACAGACCGGACGTGACAGGGGTGTATATCCCTCGCCCCTAACAACAAAACGGACACTAAGTACAGATCGGAGAGTACTCGCAGTTATTGACAGCTAGTTCATAGCCAATAACAACTTATAAAAAAAATCATGTATATAAGACTTAGTATCAATCAGTACACATCCATGATTCAACGGATTTAGCGTAAAGACTTCATTAACAGTCAGAGAAAAATATGACCTTGTGCAATTCAAAAATAAAGATATCGTCAGATTGTAGTACCGTTAAAGTGTATATGTGTATAACAAAACTATTTAGTATGATTTTAATTTACTGATAACAAAATCAATATTTATACCAATAAAAACAATAATCGAAGATCTAATTACAGTGTGGAATTGGAACCTTTTAGAATAAGTTTATTTAAAGGACTGATAAGTTTACCCGGATC